TATTGAGTGATACAGCAAATCCCTTTTGCAAAGCCAACTGAGTAAGGCCCCAGTACTAGGAAGGATCTGGGCTGGGTAGCTGCTACTCAGAAGCCCATTTTTTCCCCACATTAAATGACCTATTTTGTTACTTAAAAATTATCAGCATGTATTAATTATGCATAGTCATAGGTTTCATTTCATTCATAGGATATGTTTTGTACAACTCTACTATTTTGATCACTTCCTTCCCTATGTCCTCTTTGGTTCCCCCTTCACTCCTGCTGAACCTTCCTTTATCTTGGTGAACCCTGATTTTTCTACTGTTATTACTATGGCGTCTGTGTGTACATTTCCATGAATTTACTTGAGGTTGCTTGTAGAAGCCTGGTGAGGGTTCTCTAGCTGTTAGCTGGCCTTTTCTGTGCCTCTATGTTCTTTACCTTCTCTGTTCCTGTTTGTTTCATTGATAATCCCTGACCACATGCCTATTTTCTAGGGAGGTGACTGAGTTAATATAATACACAGGAAGGCTTAGAACAGTGCTTCCTGGCGGATGTATGGTAAACACTCGTTAAATGTTAACTATGGACACTGGTGTGCCTAGAACGCCAGCCGCCACCAGCTGATTTGTGCGCTTGCCAAAAGTTAGTCCTGTTGGTAATTACATATTACATAAATGGAGAAACGGGAGTTTCTCATGAGGTGGTCCCCAAGAAGCAAGCATATTTCTTTGGGAGAAGTAGATAACGTTAATTTGGGGAGGCGTTGTTACCAGATTCCTTAGAGGCAAAACAGCTGTGAAAGAAAGACATGGTAAAGCTGTAGGGAGTCTGCATTCCATACATTACAGATGACTAAGCTTTGTGTTACTGCGAGGAAACGGAAATCTGGGATTGCAGGTACCCACGCGTGAGTTTGTTTTTTCCTGGGAAAGAGAATTTGTACCTATAGTCAGTGGACCAGAGGAAATTCCTTCCCTTCCATTGGTTGATTGACATGCAGTCTTCTAACAGAGTTAAGTCTTCGTGCTGCTCAGGGTCATCTACTTTTTAAATGGAATAGTGGTGGTGAAGTTGGGTAAGGGCTTGTTTTCGCCAAGGTTGGTCAACTGCCAGAAACTGCCTGCCTTGTACCAACAACCCAGATTTATGGAGTGGGTGCAGGGCTGGCAGGACTCTGTAACAAGAAAGGGTACTGGTTGTGTTAGGAGGGGTATAAAGAAGGTTGTCTGGGGGACCTTGTGTCCTAACATGGGGAGGGAGAGCATTGTCAGTGAGACAAATCATTAAAATGTGAAGTGGGCTATGGAGATAACTCAGTACCACCTTGCAAGCCCGAGGAGCATGGTGTTGTATGCTCACAATCCCGGCAATGGAAAAACAAGAGACAGGAAGTTCGTTGGGACTGGCTGGTCAGCATACAGACTACGTGTTGGATTCCAGGACATTGAGAAGTCCTTTCTCAGAGGAAATAAAGGTGGATTGCATTTGAGGAATGATACCCATGATCTTCTGGTCTCCATATGCAATCCTGTGTGTGTGTGTGTGTGTGTGTGTGTGTGTGTGTGTGTGTGTGTGTGTGTCCAGTGATGGGCTCCCTATCTACTTCTCTCTAGAAGGGACCCAGAAGACCATCTGTAGAGACGCCTGAGGGGCCCTTGCAGAATCCCAGTCAGCAGCAGAGCACAAAGAGAACCACACTTGGCAGATTTAGAGAGTGATTTAACAAGCAGAGAAATTAAGAACAGGCCCGGGAGAATTCAGGAAGCCTGAAAGGTTTTTCTGAAGACACGAGACTTCTCATGAGGGAAGAAGGTAGGGAAGGAAGTTTGCATGCTGTGGAGGAACTGTGAGCAGAGAAAAGCCCCCACAGGCAGGAGAGTGGCCCCTGAGTGGTCGCCCAGTGAGAGCCCTGAGAACGGGGCTTCGAGTAATAACTACAAACATCAGGTGTGAAGTCTGAGGCAGAGCTTTACTTCATGATTTGTACATATTTAGAAGATGTCATAGAATGCTCCTCTGTAGCACCCCGCTAGGATGAGAGAGAAATGGGGGTCACTCGAGGTCACAGCCCATGAGGGGCAGAGCTAGAAACAGCTGTTGGTGGTTAGTTTTTTTTTTTTTTTTTCTTTTCTTTCAGAGATGAAGTATCCACCCCATCCCACACTTGTCCTACTTACTCTAAATATCTGGCCCTTATTTGAAGTGGCTTCACTTTCAGTGGCATTTTTCTTAGGATGACAAGATCTTCAACCTCTGGTTCCTTTTGCTCTTCTTTAACGGGGTATCGACGATTGAACCCGGAGTTGCACATAATCTAACAATAATAGCTCTGCTACTGACCTCTACCCACCTTTAATTTCTTCCTTTGGTTTCCTGTGCCTAGACTTCTCTTCCTTACCTTGTCTGCACCTCTGTATGTCCTTCCGAGGCTTGCTTTTTTTCTCTTTTCCTCTCTCTCCCTCCACCCTCATCTCTTTCCTTTTTACTAGAGACAACATCTAATGATATACTCTAAGCTAGTCTTGAGCCTCCTGCCTCAGCCATCTGAGTGCTAGGATGATAACCATACTCTAGAACACCTGGCTTTTGGGGGGGTTTTCTTCCTGTCTGGCTCATTGTGTAACTGAGAAGTCTCCAGGGATGGAAGACCTCGCTTGTCAACAGTGTCTTGCTAGCTCTGCCGCTCACACCTGTAAAGAAACCCAGTGTGGCCAGTGTGGGAGAGGTCCTATGGGGCTGGCCACTCATCTCTATTAGCTCAGGCATTCACTCCTGTGTGCCTGTACGGCTGGCCCTCCTGGTGGAGATAGAGTTGGTGGGGATGCTTAACCGAACCGGAGTGGATTGTAGATGTTGGGAAAGCTGTTCCCTAACACAGCTGGTGGCATGACTGATCACTGCACGCTAGCCACTTTAAGAGGTCACCAGGCCCCAAAGGGCGTCATGGGGTCATGGAACTAGTGGAAACATCAGCCACCAAGCCTCTTCCCCGAGCTATATACTATGCCATGTTCTGGCCAGGGTTTTGTAATTTCTCACCCTACCTCAGTTGTAGTTCAGGCTGTTTTAATCTTATCAGATGATTAAACCAATGAAGAGGGCCAGTAAATGGAATTGCCCAACATTATTCCCTGGTGGGGTTCAGAGTGGAGGCATACCTGGGTAATCATCGTCACTGTACCCACATGATATTTCTGACGCCACGTAGCCTCTTAGTTTTGTGGGTTGTTTATATATATATATTTCACTTTATTTTATGTGCATTGGTGTGAAGGTATCAGGTCCTCTGGAACTGGATTTACAGATAGTTGTGAGCTGCCATGTGAGTGCTGGGAATTGAACCCAGGTCCTCTGTTAGACCAACAACCAGCGTTTTTAACCACTGAGCCATCGCTCCAGCCCCTAGACGGGCTGTTTAGTGGTTTGATGAGAATGGTTCCTATGGGTTCATGTATGTGTGTACTTGGTCTCCAGTTGGTGGAACTGGTTGGGAAGGACTAGGAGGCCTTGTTGGAGGTGTGTCACTAGGAGCTGGCTTTGAAGAATCAAAAGATTTGCTCTCTTCCCAGTGTCCTCTTTCTGCCTCCTATTTGTAGATCACGATGTGAGCTCTTAGCTGCTCTTCCAGCCTCCTGTCACCATGCTTTTAGTCCACCATCGTGGACTCTAGCCTTCTAGAACTATAACCCAATGAACCTCTTTTGTTGATAAATTCCCCTGGTAATGGTGTTTTGTCATAGCAGTAGAAGACTAAGACAGGCCATTCGCTTGTTTTACAACAAAGGAAACTGAGCCCAACAGGTTCATGCCCCAGCTGATAAAAGCAAAGATAGGATGGGGGAGGGGGATCAGTGATGGCCAGTGAGTAAAGGCCCTTGCTATTCAAAGTCTGGTGACCTGAGTTTGTTCTCTGAAACCCATATGAAGACAAAAGGAGAGCCTCAATTCCACAAAGTTATACATGCGTACTGTGCCATCTACACATACACATGCATTTCATGCATGCACACATACATCATGCACATACACATAATAGTAAGTTTTTAAAATGCTGGGTCATCAGGCTGATGAGTTGTTTTTAATAGCTCAGTGTCCTTTCTGAGCCCTGGCACCTGATACGCTCAGATAAGTACCTGGAGAGCAGGTTTTGAAGGTGAGCTCGGTGTACGTGCCCAGCCTCTGTATCTCTCACTGTCTGGACTACACTCAGCATCCACTTAGCTTGTGAGGACTAGCCGTTGGCATAGACAAGGCATAGACAAGAATTCCGTGGGAGGTGTCACCCTCGTGCCCCACCCCACCTAGTCCCAGAAACCGTTCCTGGCACATGCAGATCCAGTAGCTTTTGGTGACAAAGGCTGTCTTCTCTTTGCCCGTGGGAGCTGGGCAGTGAGTTCCGGAATCTCCAGAGCCCTGGGCACAGCGCAAGGCAGGAAGCAACTTCTGCAGAGCTTGGGAGAGGAGACAGGCCATCCTGGTAACTGTCAGGCTCCCTGGTGCACTAGGCTCCTCCTGTTGTATAATCAGCTGTCACCTCAGCAATTTTCAGCATCAGGCTTCCCAAGACCAGATTGAACATTAAACAAACAGCGACTGCTTTATAAATATTTAACTCCCACTGTTTAGGAATTGCTTGGGGCAGGAGACAAAATAAGAGTTCCTGACCGTCTGCCGCATGACTCTCTGTCATGGTGTTGGACAGTGGGAGTCAGAGCTGGGGGGTGGGTGGCTCAGAGGCAGAAGCACCGCTTCCCCTGTTTGGGGGGACATATGTGTATGCACTCATCAAATTGTTGAAATCTGTTCTAGAACCGCGGCTCATCCAGCTGGGACCTGCCATTTCTGGTGCTATTGCTATGGTCCAGTGATAGTCGTAAACTGATCTTCCTTTACCTCATCCCCTGCCCTTTCTCTCTTTCTCCCCTCCCTACCCTCAGCCTCCTCCATCATGGAGGATTGAACCTAAGGCCTACTAAAGCAAGACAGCCACTCTATTGTATATTCCCAACCCCTTCATTTTTAAATATGGAAGTTTTATTTAGATGTAACTCGTACACACCCCAATTCATCCACACAATAGGATGCTTTTCATCTAGTCATGGAACTTGAAGTTGTTACCACAATCCATTTTAGAACATTTTCATCCATCACAAGAGAAACTTCATACTCACTACTCACTACTAGTCTCCTCATCTCCTCTTCCTGATCCCCTCACCCCGCTCCACCCAGTTTCCTGAGTCCTAGGAAATCACGGATCCGCTTCCTGTCACAGTGGATGTGTCTTTTCTGAAAATGTCTTATCAATGGGATCATGTGACACATTCTGCTGTGACTGGCTTCTTTCGTTCTCGTGACTCTTTCAAGGTTCTTCAAGTAGCATCTTCCAGTCCTTTACTCTTTTTCATGGCTAATAATGTTCCCTATGTGGACATCACATGTTTTGTTGACCATGCCTCCGCAGATGGACCTGTGGGGACAGCAACACTCTAGCTGAAAGATTAAGACATGGCTGGCCCAGTATTGTGTGATGAAGGCAGAACTGACTTCACAAGGAAGACCCCCTGCCATGCTTTAAGTCATACTTAGGCATGGGGTACACACAAGTTCTCTTCAGTTACTTAGCACTAACCATATGCTGAGAGGCCCAGTTCATTCACAGGGTTATACAATCCTGCCAAAGGGTTACCTATGAGAGGCTGATCTGTTTTAGACTTGTTTGGATGGGAGACTAGGAGATGTCAGTGTCCTCGGCTGATGGATTTGGTTTAGGAGAGAGGCGTGAGGAACTACAACTTCTTGTCCTCCTCACCTCACTGGCTGGCCTAGTTCTCTTTTCTCACAGATACTGGCTACCCTGTGGGCACTGGGTCCCTAGCACTCACAGAGAGACAGGTTGAGTCTGCAGGGAAAGTCAAGAGTTTATGCTTGCGTGCCTCCCGGTCATCTCAGTCATTTAGCCATGATTCAGAGCAAGATACTGTGATCCAGATACCCTGTGCTGGGCAGCACACTACAGCCAGATACCAAGAGTCCCGGCATCATCTTCTCTGGAGATAAGCTTTGTTACATATCGCAGCTGACTCAGAACCAAGAAGGCTGCCCCTCTCCTACATCCACTACGGCCCATACCAGAGCCTGCCTCCCTGCTCCCCAGCTTTAAACACTCTGTAGATAGATCCCCCTTCTTGGTCCCCTTGGATAACTCTGTCCTGAGATCCTTGACCGCCTGCTCATCTCACTCCTAGGCCCAGAGAGCTTCCTGGGCTGCCCTGGTGACTGTTTCATTTTGTTGGTTTTGATTTCCGTCTTTTCAGGCTAATCAGACACCAGGAAAGGTCTGTACTGAATCACAGTGGTGGCTGTTCCCCTGCTTCCTCTGTCCCTCCCTGCCTTCCCACTGAGCATCCTTTCCTGGGCCAGCAATGACCTCAACAGCAGGCAGCCCAGCTGTGGGTACAAACATCATCCTGTCCTGCTCTTCAGGAGCCAGAAACTGCCCATGCTAACTTCTGTCTCCGACTCCCCATGAACTGGCCCACAGAGGCCTCCTTCTCAACATTGTCTCTCTCAGAGCCAGAGTGGCACAGTCAGTGACACTGTGTAGTAGTGATCACCTCTGCCCACAGAGAGGCTGGGAAGATGTCCCTAACGTCTCCCGGACTTCCCTCATGACCTTTGTCAGCTGGTACCTGCCATCATTTTGTGCCCTCACGGCTCCTGTTTACCTTGTACTTTCTTCCTGGCTCATTCTTCTTTTTCCTCTCTGACCGGGGTCAAAAGCTTTCTTGAAGGCACTGTTACAATGCCACCTCCTCCTTGAAGCCCTCCCGAGTGCCTGTGAGTGGCACTGAGGCTTGCCGGCAGAGCCTTGGAGTGGAGGAGCCGTGGGGTGGTCATTACTACGCTGCTGGGTGTGGAAGGAGAATTAGTGCAGCGGGAGAGCATGTTCCAGGGCCAGGTGGGGGCTTTGCAATCAGTCACCACCTCCCCTTCCTTGCTGGGTGACTTCAAGCAAGGAACAACTTTCCTAGGTGTCATGAGGAAGCTATAGCGCTGCACCCCCCCCACCCCCCCACCCCCGCACACTAGAGCCTTTGCATATCCTCAACCAGCAGCAGGCTCTCACTGCATGACACAGGTCGGTTGGCCAGCAGCGCCAATTAAGCAGAGAGATGGAAGTTAGCTGGTAGGCAAGGGACATCTGCTGCTTCAGACTCTGTTGGGCCAGCTTAGTGAGGATCCCGTTCCCCACCCATATCTGATCTCCCGCAATATCTGATCGATTCTTCATCTTTTTTTTTCCCACACCTATGGTCATGAGGCTGCTCCCCTAACCTGTCCTCAGGAGTAATACTATTTGATCCCTTAGCCCAGAATAATACCCTTTGCTACTGATATTTCTTCCTAGAAGTTGTCACCGTCCTGACCCCAGCCCGCCTTCTGGCTCTCAGGCACCTGTGTCTGTGCTGTGTTCTGGGTTGAGACCCGTTTCTCCTCAGGACAGTTCACCCGCGCTGTCACTTTAAGTGGACTGCAAAGCACTGGAGAGTTTGTGAAGCACAGGCTTGGGAGTATCCGTGAGGGCCTTTTCAGAGAAGATAGAACCCACACTGAATATAGCCAGTACCATCCTGGAGGCTTTGGGCTTAGACTCAATAGAAAGGGAAGGGCACGAGGCAACCAGCTTATTCTCTTTCTCCCTTTCTGCCTCCTGGTTGCCACCATTCGAGTTGTGCTCCATTACACTCTTGCCGTGACGGACTGACCATAAGCCAAAAGAACGCTTTTCCCCCCTAAAGTTGTTCCGGGTACTATTTTGCAGCAAGAACAATTGACATGCACCCCCGCCAAGCTCTGTTGTGACGGAAGTCCTGACCTGTTTTTACAAGCATCACTGAGTCACTCTGGTATATCTCAATACCCCACTAGAGCCTGGGTCCAGAGAACTGAACTAAAACCGGGGCAAAGGATTACCGTGCCCCCGAACATGGGAACCTTGGCTCAGTTTTGGGATTTGTCCACAGCAGCAGAGTTCAGCTCTTTCACTACTGTCATCCCATCCCCTGCCCCTCCCAGGGCACATGGAGGAGAGGGAGGCAACCAGTCACATCCCACCTCCTATCCCCCCCTTCCCCAGCCCTACCTCTGTGTCTGGCAATGCCTTCTGCATCCTTTGAAGGGACACACTGCTTCTCATAGCCTGCCTGGCTGTGGTGACTGTGGAACAGGCCTGAGAATAAGCTTGTGTCCGAGGCAGCCCTCCAAATACAGCAAGGCTAGCCTGACCTTTAAATAGATGGGCTCGGAGCCACTCAGTTCCTGGAAGTTTGAAGAAAGTCAGCCTTTAAAGTGATGCGACTTGCAACCTCAGGAAAGATCTGTGTGTTTGCGAAGGCAGTAATTTGCTGCTGCTTTTGCAATTCATGATATGTGGCTGTGCAGCCGCTGGGAGCCAACATGCCAGTGTTAGGAGGGGAAAATCCTCAAGTATTTTAATATACCCCTGCTTGAAGCAAGATAAACATATGTATTGTACTTTGCGACAGAGGCGTGGTGAGGAGAAGGCAGAGGCCTGGCAAGGCATGAAAGGTCCTTTTAAGCTGAACTCTGAGGGTTTTCTTTCCTCCTTTTTTATTTGTAAGCAAAGCTGGCTTGAGTAGATGATGCTGGGATCTACTTGGCTAGATTGAAAGGAGTGGCTCCCGAGACAGGCAGACTGCTCCATCCCTCCCTCCCTAAGCCAGAAACCACCATCCGCCATCTTGCCTCATCCCATTAAACATGATGAAGCAAAGGCTGTCATCACCCTTGACTTAGATGGCTGCCTTGCTTCCAGGAAACTTCCCCCATCACATCTCTCACTTTGCAATCGTGCAAAGGGGAAAAAAAAAGGCTAAGAGAGGTAGACCGTGGGGATTTGTCATGAGGAAATACCTGACAGCTCACACGGGGGTGATAGGCTTCTATAAAACTGCCTGATAAGTCTAGAAGTAGCAAGGTCACAAGAGCTAAAGAAGGATGTTAGAACAGGACCAGAAGGAAGGAGTGCAGAGATGTAGGGAATGGATGTGACACTGAAGTCTAGACAGATATGGAAGCTTGAGTGGCAGTTGACAAATGTCAGTTACACATCAGGATCAGCTTTAGGTTTTACCTTGAAGTAGACTTCCGTGGTTCTTGCAGTGGGAAGTCCATGTGAAGTACCCTTGGGTGACGAGGCATCAGGTCAGGTTCTCTGCTAACATGGTATGAGGAAAAATGATTCTTTCCTGTATCCGCAGGTTTTCTGGAAAATTCTAATTTTTTTTCCTACAGATTAAAAAACATAATAATAAAATCAACCAATCCGAAGAGGAGAAAATTCCCTTTCGTGAAACCTCAAATAAGTTTGGCTTTCGATTCTGATTCTTAAAACTTCATGGAGAAATGCCTTTGACCAGAGACCTTAAGCTCTCTGTGCATCAGTTTTTGAAGAGAAAGTGTGTGTGTGTGTGTGTGTGTGTGTGTGTGTGTGTGTGTGCTTGCACATGCTGCAGAGCTGGATGCATGTATAGACTCCATGAGAATCCCCTTGTAGCTCTTTTTTTTTTTTTTTCTTATGTACTAACTACATCATAGGTTGCAACCACGTGAATAGACTCTGCTGAATTTTTAGAATTCGCTCTACTGGCTAGTGCCTTCTGGTGTGTGCAGCAAGAGTGCTGTGTTTCTGACTGTCTCTCTCTTTTGCTGGCTGCTTGTGGGAGGCACCCTCGCCCACGCTCATTTCCAGAGTTCCTGGTGAATCTGAGGATGTTGTTCCCCCTTGGCACTGCAGGCTCAGGACCCTGTGTCTTTCTTATGCTTTAATTATCTGTCTTGGATGGGGTGGTACCGTGTTTCTCCTTAGGACCCAGATTGGCATGTATTGAAAGCGTATTTTGTACAGATGGAGACTGTATTCTGTCCCCAGCGTGGTAGCCTAACCAGTGTATACCAGGGCACGAGGACATGTGAGTCAATTCCCCCCCCCTTCCCCCCAGCAAAGAGCTAAGGAGAATCCCCACCCAGACTTCTGTCTACCACTCTGAGGCAGCTTGTGTTTACACAGTCCCGAGGTTCTCCTTCTCATGTTTTTGCCAATCCCCTAATACGGCCATGGCCAGAAAGTGAGAGGGTGCCTCTTATGTAAGGCCCTATGTGTTGGTCCCCAGACAATGCCATTTCCTTGCTTGGCCATGTGTGACTGCATAACACCGCTTGACTCATTTCCTTTGGAAAACTTGGCAGGGCCACTTTGCCCTGTTTCCTGCTTCTGTCACACAGATTCCTGGGAATACCACCTCGCTGTGCTTCTTCTCTGGGGGTCTGAGATCTGAGTGACAAAGAGACTCTGCCATTGGATCCTTCAAATGGATCTGCTGGAGATACAGAGAGATGGCCAGCCTTGGTTCTGAGTTAACTCAAGGGTCCCAGATGAAGAACGGGACAGACATTAACACTTGTCCCAACCTGTGAGAGGAGAATTTTGGACTATTCTATTTACTACTTCGGTGACATTTAGAAGCCCTCAAGTACTTTCTAAAATTGGGGACCCCATTCTTGGGAGGGAGAATCTATCTCAAGGGGCATGGGGGGAAGGTTAAAGAACTTTGCAACTCATTTTATATTGTTGAGACACTATCTCATGTCACCCAGGCTGGCCTCACATTCAATGTGTAGTTGAGGATAGCCTTAAACTCCTGAGCCTTCTCCCTCCTCCACAGCCTGAGAGCTGGGATTTGTAGGTACGTACCATACGGACGGCTGGATTCATGATGGTTACTTGCCAGCTGCTCACTGGAGAAGCAGCTCTGGGGTGGGGTTGATAGTCACTCCTGAGGCAGACCGGGCTGGGATTAAAGCAACATTGGAGCACTGTTTGGTTCCGTTTGAGCTGCTGTACCTGCGTATGCTGGGATCCAGCCAGGCTCCATTCAGGTTTTCTTTTCTTCATTTAAGCCTTTCATCATTGAGAAGGAGGAAAGCAGTGTTGCCTACCTCCTGGTTGTTTCCATGAATAGCAGTATAGAGCTTTCATCTCTGTCTTTTTTCTAGAGCAGTGGTTTTCAACTTTCCCAGTGCTACAACTCTTTAATACAGTTCCTCATGTTTTGGTGACCCCTCCACCCCACCCCCCAACTGTAAAATTATTTTTGTTTCTACTTCATAACAGCAATTTGGCTACTGTTGTGAATCATAATGTGAATATTTTTTGGAGATAGAGGTTTGCCAACAGGTCATGACACTGTCCTCGAGGTTAATTTGATACCTATTCAGGGAGGCCAGGTAGGTATATATCTCTTGGTCTCTGTCTGTCTGTCTGTGTATGCATGCATGCATATGCCTATCTTTCCTATGTACTAACTAGACAGATCTCTACTCATGAGACAGTATCAGTTGTGTGCTAGACCCCGGGGTAGGCATTTTCATTCACTTCTCAACATAAATTCAGCCTGCATGTGGCAGCTCATTTATTTCTTGTTGTAAAGGAATAAATGAAGTTTCAAAGAGACACAATGCCTTGTCTCTTATAGAGCTGGTCTGTATCAGAATCACACTAAGTCTACTGTCTGGCCTATAGCCCACAGAAGGTGAAACAAAGGTGGCCCAGTGACACAGAGCAGGACCTCTGGCTGTGTGACCAGGGGAAGTTCTGAATCTTGCTGAGCTTTAGTTTCTGAAAAGTGTCATGATCACAATACTTACTCCATAATGCTGCTGTGAATATATATTAAAGCCAGGTCCTTCGTATGGAGTATAACGTGTCCAGCATGTATGCTTGGACTGTCCCTAGTTTGGGGAGACTAACCTAAGTGTTCAAATGATGAACAGTCTGATGCTCCTGAATGGCGTTGGCAGGGGCTGTGGACACAAGAAAGGGGATGCTGTGAGAGATGGATGATTGGCTCTTCCAGGGTGATGGGGGCTGAGCGAGGAGTGGCCCCGAGACCAGAGTTGGGCAGCCTGCTTTCTCCAGGCAAATGTGATTCAGGCTGGGACTCCCTGGTTAGTTGCACATACCCTGGCAATGCCCTTGCTTTGCTTGTAAAGGATGGAGCAGCACTGGCCCTGGCTTCTGTGACTGTCCCGATGCTGGCTGGTTGCCCTCCGAATCTGGATTATTCTTCTATGAATACTCCTTTCATCCCATGTGCTGGGCTTGGAGACAGTGCTCCTTCCTTAGAGAGTCCATCCTCAAAGACCAGCAGGGACGATGGGCAGGCTGTGTTGCATCCTTTAGGGCTAGTTGTGTTCTGTCATACATCCTGTGTACAAAACAACAGGCCCCATTGGAAAGGGAACTTTACTTGGAGTGGAGACCTTTGTGTCAGATTCTTGCACAGGATCATGCCCACTGTGTCACCTGGCTTGGCTCCACCTCTGCTGAGCCAGCTGTCCCATCCAGTAACCTCTTCTCTGGCACCCTGCCGGCCATGGATTCTCTTAATGACAGAGCCCCAGAAAAAAGGCACCTCTGTATATAGACACACTCACTTGGACCTTTGGAGAGTTGGACACAGAAAGTAGCCTTCAGGTAGAGGGGAATAAAAATGTCCATCCATGTCCAGCTCCCTTTGAAACTACAGACCCAATCACCACCTGCCTCAGTTCTGCCTCCTGCATCCTCCTCATGTGATTATCTTACATTATTTGGTTCAATTCCTTCTCCTTTAGATAACCATCTTGCTTCCACAAATATATTGCACTTCCTTGCCCACCAATATCTTTCTTACCTGTAATTCATGAGGCCACTGGCCACATCGTCTAATTATCTTTATGTATGCAAGACAGGGCATTAGCATTTATAGTTATACAAAGGTCAGACTCAAGGCTCAGAAAGGAAAGATCCTTTTGATTCTCAGCAAGTGACTGAGCTTGGATTTGAATCCCAGAATCTTCATTACCTCAAGTCATGGCCTTTTCCATGGCTGTCTGGCTTACAGCTGCATGAAACCTGGGCCTCTCCGTGTCTTCTTACCCTGCTCTTGCGTTGGTTCTTCCAAAGCAGCCTCATCCCCTCAAGACTGAAGCCAGCGGGACGTCAATTGGTTTATGTCTTCTGTATGTGACCTCTCTGATGGGCTGCTCAAGGAATGAAGCCATATGGAGAATAAGGATGTCCTTTATAGGGGAGTGGTGGGTAGAGTCCAGTGTCCTGTCTTGGCCCTTCACATCATTCCAGAAACGGATGACAGTTGTAATTATCAGTGAGCAAAATTGAAAGCGTGATTTTCAGAGAGGGAAGTTTGATCTAGTAGGCTACAGGTCCCTGAGGATGTCCCATACTGGGATGGAGAGAGCCAAATTGTATTGTATTTCTTCTGGACTATAGACGAAGTTCCATGGTTTCAAAAGCCTAGATCCTACACTCTTTGAACACCACTGTTTGAATTGACAACAGGACACGGCTCTTGAGTATGGGCAGGTGGGGGGTGTGAAGGAAGGCCTTACCTTGCGGTTATATCCTGCGGTTTCACAAATGTACATATTTGGAAGCTCCTAGCAAGACAGATGGTGTGAACTCAAATTGAAGATCCCTTTGGGCTTCTGACATTTGTTTTCTTCAAGTGTTTAGAGGAAAATGACACCTTTAAAAAGTGATGCCATTTGTTCTGAAAGCTGCAAAACCATAATGCACAGAATAGAAAGATTTACGCTTTGCTGG